TTGGGGAGTTTTGAAAAAGAGAAGTGGTAGAGTAGGTCTCATACTGTGATGAAAGGTTCTTTGGGAAACACAGAGTTGAAAGAATTTGAGAATATGTGTATATGTAATTACTCTTTGGATTTTCTTTTTTTTGTATGCCAGAAATAAATATTTACATTACTTTTTAATTAATTTGAATGTTGATGTTGAGTTTCTTCTAAAAGCAACCCTGTGTTGAGAGAGATCACAAGGAGGTCCAGATTTATTTGGGTTACAATGACCACAACATTTTAAAGCTTTTTTTTATAGGCCACCAAAGTTTTAAACATTCAGATTTTTTTATTTACTTGCCAAGGTATAACAGCACTTAGTCTAATATCCTGCACAGAAATATTAAATTATTGACTGCTATCATACCTTGCTGCCTTAGTTATCTAGTGCTGCTATAACAGAAATACCACAAATGGATGGCTTTAACAAACAGAAGTTTATTCTCTCACAGTTGAGGAGGCTAGAAGTTCTAACTCAGGGCACCAGCTCCAAGGGAAGGCTTTCTCTGTCGGCTCTGGGGGAAGGCCCTGGTCATCAATCTTCCCCGAGTCTAGGATTGTGGCCCAGCACAGGGATCCCAGGTCCAAAGGATGTGCTGTTGCCAGTGCTTCTTTCTTGGTGGTATGAGGCCCCTATCTCTCTGCTTGCTTCTCTCTCCTTTTATCTCTTGTGAGAGAAAAGGTGATGCGGGCCACACCCCAGGGAAACTCTCCTTATATCGGATCAGGGCTGTGACTTGAGTAAGGGTGTCGCATGCCACCCTAATCTTCTTTAATTTAACCTAATCTTGTCTCATTAATCTCAGGCAGAGATTAGGATTTACAGCACATAGGAAATCACATCAGATCACGAAATGGTGGACAACCACACAAAACTGGGAATCACGGCCCAGCCAAGTTGACACATTTTTATTTTTTTATTTTTATTGTACTTCAGGTGAAGTCTTACAGAACAAATAGTTTCTCATGAAACAGAAGTACACATGTTGTTTTATGACACTGGTTAACAACCCCACAACATATCAACCCTCTAACTTCTCAACCTTTTTTTTTGGTGAAAATACACATAGCCAAAGATACACCATTTCTCAAAAATTTCTACATGCACAGTTCAGTGACATTGACTACGCTCTTTGAATTGTGCTGTTATTCTCACTTAAGATGAAGGCTTACAGAACAAAATAGTTTCTCATTTAACAGTTACTACAAATGTTGTATGCCCTATGACAATGGTTAACAATCTCACAACACATCAACAATATCCTTACTCAACCATGGGTTCCCTATCACCAGCTTCCTTGTCCCCTTCTGCTTTCTGGCCCTTGTCACTGGACTCCTGTACCTTGTTAGTCTCATTTGGTTTTATGGGGCTGTCCACTCCCAGGCTGAACAGTGAACCTCAGAGGTAACTTCACCACTGAGCTAGAAGGGTGTTTGGGGGCCATACTCTTGGGGTTTCTCCAGTCTCCTTTAGGCCAGTAAATCTGGTCTTTTTTGTGTGGGTTAGAATTATGCTCTACATCCTTCTCCAGCTCTGTCCAGAACCCTCTGTTGTGATCCTGGTCAGAGCAGTCAGTGGTGGTAGCCGGGCACCATCTAGCTGTACTGGACTCAGTCCGGTGGAGGCCTTGGTAGCTGTAGACAATTAGTCCTTCGGACTAATCTTTTCTTTGTATCCTGTTCTCTTCATTCTCCCTTGCTCCCGAAGGGATGAGACCCGTGGAGTATCTTAGATGGCCGCTCACAGGCTTTTAAGACCCCAGACAATACTCACCAAGGTAGAATGTAGAGCATTGTCTTTATAACAAGCTGCCAAGTTGACACATATTTTTGAGAGACACAATTCAATCCATGACACTTGCCAACTGTTTCCAAATTTATTATTTCCAATTCAGTTGGTCCTAATACTGCTTGTGAATACTCTTAACCAGTTTCTAATTAGTCATTCTGCATTTACCAAAGTAGGTTTAAAAATCTTTATCACATTCCTTATGTATCCATGTCTATCCTCAAATCCAAAGCCCAACTCTTAGCAGACAGCCTAGTGCTTGCTGCCAGGAGAATAAACTCCACAGGCCTTCTACTTTTGTGCCTTTACACTTAAGTTGTATCTCTCACTCACTAAGTTGTATCTTCGCTTCTCTCCTGCTTCAGAAGCAGCAGCAGCCATCCTTCTGACCAACCTTAATCTTCTCCTAAGCTTTTGGTCTCATCCTCTTCTAGGCATATTGCTTCAGCAGTTATGCCCTCCTCTATCCCTCTTGGACCTTAAATCTCTCGCTATTTCTTAACTCTTACTCCTTAGCCTGTAAACATGCTTGAAACTCTGGATCTCCTTTCAGTATCATCTTCCCCACCTCTGTCCTCTTTTTTACAAATTCCATTTAAAGATTAGCTATCCAATCCAGCGTAATCTTCACTTTTCCATTCCCTATTGGAAGTAATCTCTCCTTCCCATCTTTTATGGCTTTGATCAGTGTCTTCCAAATATTATTACTAGTTATGAACAAGGCTAATTAATCTCTGTAGTTGAATTCTAGAAGCCAGATGGGCAGGATCTTTATATTACTTGCTTCTTCCCTATGCATAAAATACAGTACCTTACAAACAGTAGGAACTTAAAAATGTTTGATAAATGGATAAATGAATTGGTCAATTATTAGATGTATATATCTCCCTCAGGGGCAATGGTGGTTCGATGATAAAATTCTCACCTTCCATGTGGGAGACCGACTTTGATTCCTAGCCAATGAAACAAGTCATGTACAGCCACCACCAGTCTGTCAGTGGAGGCTTTATGTTGGTATGATGCTGAACAGGCTTCAGCGGAGCTTCCAGACTCTGCTTTCAAACTAAGATGGACTAGGAAGAAAGGCCTGGTGATCTACTTCCAAAAATCAGCCAGTGAAGACCTTATGAATCACAATGGTCTGATCCATGATCTAGTATGTGGATGGCACAGGAGCAGACAGTTCACTCTATTGTGCATGGGGTTGTCAGGAGTTGGGGCAGACTCAACAGCACTAACATGTCTCCCTCAGTTACATTGATTTTTTCTTCTCATTTCTTCTAAATGTTTTAGTTGAGCTTGTTATCCTTTTTGTCTCTATTTTTCTTTGTTTGTATTTATTCCCTTTCTACATCCATTTTCTTTTCTTTCTCTGCTCCTTCATAAAACATAACATTTTACATGAAATGTAACATTTTTATGTTTATTGCAGTTATATAAATCAGAATTAAGCGTTACGGGAAAAAATGAAGTTAGAAATAGAAATCATGGGGTGATACTGAATTCATATTAATCTCAGTTGGGCAAAACAGTCCAAGATAACATTGAATCAGTTGTTTCAGTTCACTATGTGTTATGGATGGAACTGTGTCCCCCAGAAATGTGTGTCAACTTGGCTAAGCCATGGTTCCCAGTATTGTGTGGTTGTCCACCATTCTGTGATCTGATGTGATTTTCCTACGTGTTGTAAATCCTACCTCTATGATGTTAATGAGGCAGGATGAGAGGAAGTTATGTTAACGAGGCAAGACTCAATCTACGGGATTAAGTTGTATGTTGAGTTAATCTCTTTTGAGATATAAAAGATGGAATCGAACAGAGAGCAGAGGGACCTCATACCACCAAGGAAGAAGAGCCAGGAGAACAGTGCATCCTTTGGAACCAAGTTCCCTGCACTGAGAAACTCCTAGACTCAAGGGAAGATTGATGACAAGGACCTTCTCCCAGAGCCAACAGAGAGAGAAAGCCTTCCCCTGGAGTTGGCACACTGATTTCAGACTTCTAGCCTCCTAGTCTGTGAGAGGGTAAGTTTCTCTTTGTTAAAGCCATCCACTTGTGGTATTTCTGTTACAGCGGCACTGGATAACTAAGATAGTATGTTTACAAATTAATTAATATGTAAACAGCATACTTCATCAAATATATTCAACTTAAACAGTGGTCCAAATGTATTCTGACAAGTGCATGATCAAATATAATACCTCCTATAAACAGTTTATTACTCTTTCCATGACCCACCCAGGATCTGGCCTTTAACTTGGATTTTTAAAATATGACCTAATAGAGCTCTGCACTGTCCACATTTCATCTTCAAATGAGATTTTTATGGTATGATTAATTTCATGTAAAGAATGGACTTGGTTAATACTCTGAGTGGAAAATATCAAAAAATTATAAAGAATATCTGCAATGCTTTCATGTGTATTTCATGTTTCTCAGGTAATCTACAAACTAAGCAAAAAGTTTAGAGAGTTAGAAACAAATAACAGACAACCATTATCACATGTTAGATAAAAATTACTGTTGACATGCTACAGCCCAATACATTTGTCTTTCTTTTTCATGCAGTTTCTGACTGGGTCAATAGCAGCATCATTATACTGTTACTGAAGATAAAGACAGGCCAAAATAAAATTGTATCTATATAATACACCTAAGGAGAAGCCTCGGTGGCACAATGGTTAAGTGCTATGTTACTAACTAAAAGGTCAGCAGTTCGAACCCACTGACCTTGAAGAAGCAAACAGCCATGTTGTGAAAGGGCCTTGTGGTAAGGGTGGCCTTAGGCACTAAGAATGATCTCTAGTCAACAACTAGCAAGAAAACAGGGACCTCAGCGATACAGCTGCAAGAAAATGAATTCTGCCAACAATCTGAATGAGTTTGGAAGTGGATTCTTCCCCAGTGCTTCCAGATGAGAACACAAGTCTGGCTGACACCTTGACTTCAGCCTTGTGAGACCCTGAGCAGAGGCCCCTGCTTGGACTTCTGACCTACAGAAAATATGCTATAATAAATGGGTGTTGTGTTAAACACAAAGAGCCCTGGTGGTGCAGTGGTTAAGTGCTCACCTGTTAACTGAAAGGTCAGCAGTTTGAACCTATCAGCTGCTCCATGAGAGAAAGATGTGGCAGTCTATTTCCGTAAAAGATACAGCCTTGGAAACCCTATGGGGCAGTTCTACTCTGTCCTATAGGGTCGCTATGAGTCGGAATCGACTTGATGGCAATGGGTTGGGTTTTGGGTGTTAAACCACTAAGTTTGTGGTAATTTGTAGACAGAACAGACAACTGATATAAGCAAAGGCCAATAATATTATAACCTTCCCACAGTTAAGGAGACTGGGACAGAAAGATGGAACTGATTTGCCTAATTTTATTTTGGGAATTAGTGACAGGACTGAGATTGGTACCTAGGATTCTCATGTATATGCCAGCATTCTTTCCACAGTTTCATAATGTCCCACACACAAATTAATATTATTAGTAGATTTTCTTTACCCCACCATCAAGATGGATAATTCAAAGCATAATAAATTGCCTTTTTTTAAGAGTTCAGTGCAAGGTCAAGCAATGATTTTATTAATTCTCACATCAACCTGTATTATAATAAAAACATGAATCAAAATAATATTACATATAATTAAGTTCACAATATTTTTAAAAAAATCTTGAATCAAATGCTAATCCTCATCACTGAACAAACAATATTCTGAATAGTTAAGATCAGGAAATGCGATAGGTAATTCCACCCACTTTTTGTACTGCTTCTTTGGTGATTTGTTTTTGAAACTGACTACAAAATTCTTTATTTTGAGACAAGGCAAATCTAAACCTCTGTGCACCATCATCGTTCCCCAAGCCTGGAAAACAAAAGGGAGAGCGAGAGGAAAAGTTAAATGCACACCAATTAAGTATTACTTTTGGCCAAATAAAATTAAGCCCACAGCAATTTACTCACTTGGCCACACTTGCAGATAATCTCGCCATTTGTTTGACAGTCGGCAAACTTTTTTTGCAATGCTTTGTTTTCTCTCACAATGTAGAGCTCCCTAAAATTAGCAAGAAGTAAGAATCATCCCTGAGAAGTCACAAAGGACCCATATGCAGCCCACAACGACATGCTGTTGGACCTGAAGCTCACCACAGGCATGCCATTATCCCACAACTCATTCCTTCTCTCCCTCCTGCTTCCCCAGATCACTGGCAAATGAGGCAAGGGGCCCCCACACATGTCCCTCAAGGGGCATGCTGCCTTTTTGTGACTTCTGTCCTCTTTCAGGCATCCCTGGATGGTGCAAACAGTTAACCAAGCTCGCCTGCCAACTGAAAGGTTGAAGGTATGAATTCACCCAGAGGTGTCTCGGAAGAAATGTCTGGTGATCTATTTCTTAAAAATCAGCCATTGAAAACACTATGAAGCACAGTTCTACTCTGACACACATGGGGTCTCCGTGAGTCAGAACTGATCTGAAGGCAACTAGTTGGTTGGTTCCCCTTTCAAGTCTGTTGATTATTTTAGCCTGACTTCACTTGTTTAAAAATTTGAGAACAAATATGAGCACAGACAAATTGATGTGCCTTGAATCAAAATGGCTTGGGTCTTACATTGGTCTCTTCCTTCCCCAGGACGGTTTATTTAAAATATACAGATATTTGAAATGGAAATATAATTTGGGACGAAACACTTCTGAAAAATAACGGATTTCATATGTACTACTTTGGATAAACAAATGGAGCCCTGGTGGTGCAACGGTTAAGTACTCGACTGCTAGCCGGAAGTCTGGTAGTTCAAATCCACCCAGGAGCTCCATGGGAGAAATACCTGATGATCTGCTTCTATAAAGATTACAGCCAAGAAAACCCTATGGGGGAGTTCTACCCTGTCACATGGAGTCACTATGAGTCAGAATTGACTCAGTGTCACCCAACAAAAACAACAACAATTTTGAATAAATGTTTACAATACAACCTGTTTCGCCGCCCCTTGTAAAGAAATCTAACAATGGGTCTTCCTAGACTCACTTGAATTCCGGTGTCGTATTGACATGATGCATCTTCTCAATCACGTGAATGTCTTCTCCAGAGCATGCTAGCACACTGCAGTTTTTGCAGAGGAAAGTTATTAATGATGGATTCTCCTTGTAATGCTTTGCGTTACTTCTTTTGATTTTCATTTCTTTTTCCATTATACTTTGCATCTGTAATTCTGAAATCTGATTCGAGAAAAGAATATTTAAATTTTTGGTTATTTTTCGTAGAGTCATTGAAGAAAGCCTCTTGGAATTTGGAGATCTTAGATAGTTATGAAAATATACACTTAGCTTATGGCCTAGAAATAAAACTAATGAGGTAATGGTCCCCAAAGAAATATGCATACAAATCTTCTCCAATAATCGTGGAAATTCCCAAGTGTTCAAAAAGCAGTCTGTTCCATTTTAGATAAGCCGTACTGTGAGAAAGTTCTTAGCAACATTCAAAAATCGTTCCTTCTAAGCCTTCCAGTAAGGAGCCCTGGTGGAGCAGTGGTTAAAGCGCTCAGTTGCTAACCAAAAGGTTGCCTGTTGGACCCCACCAGCCGCTCTGTAGGAGAAAGATGTGGCAGTCTGCTTCCATAAAGATTCCAGTCTTGGAAACCCTATGGAAAGTTCTAGTCTGTCCTTTAGGGTCGCTATGAGCTGGAATCAACTCGACAGCAATGGGGTTTTGGAAGCCCCTCCAGTAGTTTTAATTCTGTTCCTATAAAATAGGTCCAAACTTTCTTCCACATGAAATCTCTTTAAAGAACCAAAGACTGTTATTATACTGCCCATCAGTCTTCTCTTATCCATGTTAAGCCTCCCAGAGCCTTCCATCTCAGACACCATAATTTCCAGACTTTTGCCATCTTTACACATTTGTGGCAGAAACCACTGGTTTCCCACCCAGTATCCTTTCTTTCTTAAGAAGAGAACCACAGTTTTATTCTAGGTGTAAATATGCCTATTTTAAATGACTACACTTCCCAGCCATGGCCAGTGGGATGTAAGCAGAAGTTATTGAATGGAATTTCTAAAAAGGCTCCTTAAAGAAGATCAGATAGCTGGCATGTGCCCTTTTTGCCCTTTCTTACTTTCTTCTACTTCCTGTCTAAAGTGAGGATGTGACAGCGGGAATTCTAAAAGCATCTTTTTACCATGAGAATGGAAGCCAAACACTAAAAGGGCAGAGAAGAGAGAGAGACAGAGAGAGAAGAGGCCTGCATTCCTCATGACATCATGGAGCTAACATATATTAAACTAGATTACTCAAATTCTTTTTTTTTGAGAGAATAAGCCCCTAAGTCACTGTATTCCAGGCTCTGTGACTAGCAACTAAACATATTTCATAACAAAAATAATACTTTAGTTTCTGAGGGATATAAAACTTCAGATAGGGACTGACCAGTGCTCAGCATTCACATCTATGGAACTTAACAGTATAAAACATGGCTCTTGAATTTTTTACCTCAAAACTGAACCTCACATAAAGGACAGATTTATATTTTATATTTATATTTTTTTCTTTAAGACTGAGTGGAAGTTTTCAGTAAAAGTAAATCATCAGTGCGGATGAACAAAGGTGTAAGACCCAAAGTCCATCTCCTTGACTCTTGCCTCTGTGTTTTAGGTTTCAACTGGGGGCAGTTGTACTTAGCACAGAAAAGAGAACAAAACCCTGTAAGCAAACCTAGGGGCTATATGATAGTTCAATTAGGCAAGTACAAAGACTTATTTCCTACCCAAATTCTAACAGTATGATAAATTGAAATATTTTGTTCCTGAAAAGTTTAATTAGGTTGTTCTTGCAAGACATTCACAGTTCAGTGAGCTGATAAAGATGTGATTTGGCGTAAGAGTACATACATGTGGACAATTAAGAAACACCTATGAGTGAAACAGAAAAAAAAAAAAAAAAAAAAACAACACAAGATAAGAGTATGAATATGTAACCAGGACACCAGAAGCTAAAAGATTATCTCTAGAACATTAAAGGAACATGACATGATTAGAAGTATAAAAATAAAAAAAGAAAGAAATCATGATAAGTATACGAGAGGCACAGCTACAATCAATATATGTCCAAATAAAATATAATAATGTAATGAAAGTAGCTGGGTCATTGCCAGGGAAAAGTTTAAGATCTTCATCTTACTCCTAAAAGTCTGATTTAAAAAGCATTCAGTTATCTATAAACTCTGTATATGAGATGGCAAATACATTTCATCTCATATGTCAACTCTCATCATTTATTAGTAGTGATCTGACATTCTGTTGAAAGGATTCTCAGATCAGAAGAAAGGAGTGCTGGGACCTGACAGCAATGACCAGGTAGGGGCTTTGAATAGAGTGGTGGTGGCATGCACCCCACATTATTACCATCTCTGCTCTGAGTTTGTCTACTTGGCATAGCTTTAGGAGGGCAGATCTCTTAGCCAAAAGAACTCTAGAAAGGAAAACATTCTGGGGTCCCCAAAAGGACTGTGTTTGGAAAAGTCTGACTTATGAACTCCAGAGACTGTTCTAGAGTTTACCCGAACACTAAAACCACTAATCTTCAAACATCAGCTTTTGTAAATATCCGCTTGATTCATCCTCTTAAGACATTAAATGTGAGGCAGTAACTTTCCAGTAGCACTATTTGGTCACAAGTGTTTGATTTGACACTGCAAAATATTTGGTTTGCTGTATATTTAAAGGGGTTTTAAAATATAAGTTTGTGCAGAAACCTGGCTAGAAAACCTTGGAATTGGTTATAGCAATGCACACCAATCTGAAAGCATCCTTTTCGTGAAACTCTATTTAGGGTACAGCCAACTCCAATGTTAAGAAACTAACATTCACACCCATATGCAAGGGTGTGAATTTTCTTCTAAATGGATTGTTTGCTATTATAGTAGTTACAGTCTTTAATTCAGTGGTATGGGGGATTTCCTGAAATATTGTACGAATACATTCTTCTTTCCCTGCTTCTTCTCACGACTTAAATGACTATATGTTGGTAAACTGAGATGCAGTTAGATGGCATATTATGGCTTTTTTGTTATTACAGCCCAGCCTCAATGTCATTCCTTCCAAGAATCCCTTTCAACCATCCAATCTAAAGTAGCCACGTAGTCACTCATTTCACCTCGTCTTACTTTAACGCTTCAGCACTTACATCTCTCTATGATGTATTTCTTGCTTTTTTATTTGTTTGTTGTTTCTCCCTCCCTACCCTCATCATGGGGTTAGGGGAGGAGAAAAAATACCATAAGGCATCTGGGTGGTGCAAACAGTTAAGCACTCAACTATTAGCCAAAAGGTTGGCGGTGTGAAACCACCTAGAGGCGCCTCAGAAGACAAGCCTAGCAATCTGCTTCCTAAAGGGCACAGCCTTGAAAACTCTATGGAGCAGTTCTACTCTGCACACGTGGTGTCACCATGAGTCAGAATCGACTTGATGGCAACCAACAACAGCAACAACAAACCCTCACCATTCACATACTAAAAGACAAGCTTCACAGAGCAGGGATCTTATTTGTCTTGCTTGCCACCATGTTCCCTGTTCTTAAAACATTGCCTGGCACACAGTAGGCATTAATTAATAAATACTTCTAGAATAAAAAAAAATTATGCCTGTATAAACAGATTGGATCAAACCAAAATTGCCAGGTTGGGATGAATGGGTGAGCTGTACTAGTCTTTCTGGATGAAGGAAAACCTAAATTTATATTATCAAAGTTAACGGCTGCTTCAACTGGAATGGCTCCCTGACAACTTCCTGCTCACCAGGGATCCTGATTCTTTGTGTGTGAATCTGGGCTAAGCATAGCTCATCAAACTGGAACTTATAATTCAGCACAATTTCTGTCTGGAGTCTTAGCCACAGAGATACCAATGGCAACCACATGCAGTCATTTTAAAATGAAAACTAAATTCAGAGAGGGCCAAAAACAATACCTTATGAGCATACTCCGCCGGTTTCATATTTTGAACGTGGTCTATAGCTTTATACATCATTTTCTCTCGGAAATCATTAACTATCTCACGTTCAATAACTCCTGAACCGCTGGGGGCAACCAGGATGTAGGTGCTCTCATCAGCTCTTGCTCGACCACGGGCCTGAGAACATAAAGAAATCAAGTCAATGAATAGCTATGCCTTGCTACAAATTCTTCTATTCCTGGCCTGGAAAGGTATTCATTGCTCAACGTCTCAGCCTTCAAATGATCTCTTTCCTCAGTAGTTATTTATTATCCATTCTTTGTAAGTTGGCTATTTGAAACTCAATTTGCAATTTAATACAGAAAAAATGTTCTACAGAGATGATAGTCAGGACCCATATCAGCCCTCTAAAGCCTCAATAACACAGTGCTATCCTGTCCAACAATTTTGCCCCCATGGCACCTCCCTCAAGGCCCTGGGTGGCACAAACAGTTAAGCACTCAGCTACTAGCTGAAACGCCAGAGTTTTGAACCTACCCAGAGGCACCCTGGAAAACAGGCCTGGGGATCTGCTTCTGAAATCATAGCCTTGAAAACCCTATGGAGCAGTTCTCTGCACACAAGATCACCGTAAGTCACAACTGATTCTACGACAACTAACAACTACAGTTCCTCCCTCAAACCATAGGAACTATCATCAGACTTGGACTGGGGACCCCCACACCTCCTGCCTAGTAGTAGGGATGAATGGGGAGAGAGGGCATCTTTGATCTTGGAACTAGGGCTCTTGAGAATGCAGCTCTGTTCCTGCCATCCTACATTGGATTTTTTAGTATGTTTTCCCATGGAAACATGTTTAACATAGTGTTAAATTTCTACAGCCCTATTAATAAAGTGATATTCAGGTCCATTTTGCATAACAGAAAAATTTGTGGGCTTTCCCAGGAATCTAACTATCAACTATAATACTATTCTCATGGAAAAATGAATTCTGAGTAAGAAGCCACTGACTTACAAATCAACTCCTGAAATACAATTACTTCCTAATTTGGGGGCTGTCTGGTCATCTTAGTCTCTCATGACTTGCCTTCCATATGAGAACGCAACTGTTAATTTTATTAATGCAATTAATTTACCACAATTAGTTAATTTTATAGAAAGAATATTACCTAAATTACTCAGCATACCTGATTAACAACAAAAGGTATTCAAAAAATACTTAACGAAAGGTAACAACAATATTGTTAACATACTGTGGGTAAGTGATAAAGTAAAATTTAATTGAAAAGCAGGACAACACACTCTTTTTGGGGTGGTAAGCATTTATAAGTCTTCCCCCTCCAACGTTTTATTATGAAAAATTTCAAACACACAGAAAAGTTGGAGAATAAGGGAGGAAAATGCAGAAATAGCAAGACTCAAGGAATGGCCCAAGATGGTGGCTTGGTCAGATACACCATGCCATCCCCCTACAGCAAAGACCTGGGAAACTAAGTGAAGAAATACAGGTTAACAATCCTGGAACTCTGAGCATCTAAAGGAAGGGTGAAAAATTATATCGAATACCAATTAGAAGGAGAAACTGAACAAAAATAGTGGTCAAAAAGAGTTACAGATCAGAGAGGCCCTGCTAGCTAGCCCAGCACAGCGTGGCCATCTTGAGACAAAGTGAGGAGTGACCCTGGGTGAGGAGCACAGGAAGGCAACGTCACAGAACTCCCAATAGGAAACAGAGAAACTGTGCAGACAAACTTGGAATGAAACAACGTGAGCAGGACATGAACTGGATCTAAGAAGGGAAAGTACAGGAAGGCAGGTGAGAGCTCCAGGGATCCTGGTGACCACAGAACAGGGAGGGAGCCAGGAACCAGACAGGACTGCCCACCAGTGGTGGTCCCTGACCACTGGGGTGGGTGGCACAGAGTAGTAAATCCAGAGAGTGTCAGCAGGTGGTCCCCCACCTGACCAGATTCTGGGCAGCCTCCCCTTCACATTTCGTCAGTCCTGCCTGCTGGCTATAGCCTACAGGGAGTGCCCTGGCATCCACATCTGTTGACCAGAGTAGCACTCTCCCCCTCCCCACCTGCTCTCCCGGTGACCAGTGGTGTGAGCCTCCCCTACCGCCACCACCCTGCCCACCTGGAGACCATGGTATGAGCCCTCCCCAGCCCCCCCAGCTCCATCCAGCCAACAACCGGCAATGCATATCCACCCTGCCCACCACCCTCATTGTCCTGCCCTCACAGCAAGCAGCACTGTATGCTCCTGCATTGCCAGACTGATGACCAGTGATGGTGCGTGACTGCCCTGCCCATCAAACTCCACCACCACCCTGCCCACCAGGCGAGTGGCAGCGAGTGGCACCTGGACTGATGATCGGCGGTACCGTGTACCCACCCCACCCACCCCCTGCTGCTGCGCAGCCTCCCTGGTGATCAGTGACACAAGCCCAACCCACCCACTTCCCTTCCTTCCCCCTCACCCTCGGCCACTGCCCCACCCACCCAGCGATGGTAGCAAGCACTCCTGTGCCAGACCAGCGATCAGCAGAACACACCCCCCCCCCACCCTGATATATCAAAACAAAGCAAAACAAAAAAATCAGGACAAAACAAACAAACATACAATCAATCAATGTATAAATAAAATAACACCTTAATGCCTCGGACACAGCAGACAATAACAAATCATGAAAAAACAGGATAATATGGATCAAATAAGTGATCAAAAAAAGGGGGGACACCTTCCTGAGGAAGAAATGATAATAAAAGTACCTGTGAAGAAATTCAAAAGACTTATATTTAGGATCCTCAAAGAGATCAAGGAAAACACACACACACAAACACACACACACACACAAACCCTAGAAGAATTCAGGATAACAATACAAGAACAAAATGACAGACTCAATAGACAATTAGAAACCATATAAAAACAACAACTAGGAATTCAGAAGATTAACAATAAAATAGATAACATAATGGAGGACACAGAAGTAGACTGAATCAGTGGGAGAAAGAATCAGCGAAATACAGGACAAATCCCTTTATACTAAGATACTAATTCATTTGAGGAAAAATGAGAAAAAAGAATGAAGAAAAATTAAGAAAGCCTAAGAGTTATGTGGGACACCATCAAGATGAATAATTTACGCATAATAGGAATTCTAGAAGAGGAGGAGAAAAAAAAGTACAGAGAGAATTTTTGTAGATATATTGGCAAAAAACTTCCCAAATATCATGAAAGATAAGAAAGTTTCCATACAAGAAGCCCAATGAACTTCATACAGGATAGACTCCAAAAGAAATCACCAAGACATATCAGAATCAAACTTTGAAAAACCAAATAAAGAATTCTGACAGCAGCTTGTGAAAAACAAAATATCACTTACAAAGGGGCACCAATAAGGCTAAACACTGATTTCTCATAAAAAACCATGCAGGCAAGAAGGCAATGGAATGACATATATAAAATCCTGAAAGAAAAGAATTGCCAACCAAAAATCATACATCCAGCAAAACTGTCTTTCAAAAATGATGGCAAAACTAAGACATTTCCAGATAAGCAGAAATTAAGGAATTTGCAAAAACCAGACTAGCCTTACAAGAAATAGTAAAGAGGGCCCTTTAGACAGAGAACCAATGTCATCAGACAACAACCTGAGATAAAGACACACAACATCAGTATCCAGATACTAACTCAGGCAAAGATTTCACAAAAGTAAAATAAAACTACAAAGTTGACTACAGAGAACCAGAGGTGTTAAGCTGTAAACAACCACAACTTCAAAACAAAAAAGGGAGTAAAAGGTGTAGCTATGGAACTTACATATGGAGCAGAAATCAAGGTGATTTCAAGAAATAACAGACTGTTTTAAATTTAAGAGGATAAAGGTAAACTTCAGGGTAACCACAAAGAAAATTAATAAATCTATTCACCAAAATAAGAAGAAGAAAATCAAAAAGACTCAGTAAACATAAAAACAACGATGACTGATAGGAAATGAAAATCTACATGCAAAAAAAAAAAAAAAAACTCAGCAAAGAAAATTAAGAGGAACAAAAAAATTATCAACACACACACAAAAAAACCCCAAAATGACAGCAGTGAATGCATACCTATCATTAATCACATTGAATATAAATGAATTCAATGCACCAGTCAAGAGACAGAGAGTGGCAGAATGGATTAAAAAAACAAGACCCAGCAATATGCTGCCTGCAAGAGAAACAGCTTAGACACAAAGATACAAACAAGTTAAAAATCAGAAGAAAAATAATGTATCAAGCAAATAGTAACCAAAAGAGAGCAGGAGTTGTAATAATAATTTTGAATAAAATAGACTGCAAGTCAAAATCCATTATAAGAGACAAACACGGGCATTATATAATGATAAAAGTGTCAGTTCACCAAGAAGACATAAAAATAATAAATATTTATGGACCCAATAACAGAGCTCCAAAATACATAAAACAAACTCTAACAGAAATGAAAAAAGAGACAGTTCTACAGTAATAGTAGGAGACTTTAACACACCATTTTCAATGATGAGCAGAACAACTAGAAAGAAACTCAACAAAGATACAGAAGATCTAAACAGTACAATCAACCAACTCAATCTCATAGACATATACAAAACACATCACCCAACAGCAGCATAGCATACATTCTTCTCCAATGCACATGGATCATTCTCCAGAACAGATCATACTGTAGGCCACAAAGCAAGCTTCAATAAATTCAAAAACACCAACACAATATAAAATATCTTCTCTGACCATAATGCATAACTAGAAGTCAGTAACAGAAAGAGTAAGGAAAAAAAATTAAATATATGGCAACTGAGTAACACCTTACTTAAAAACTACTGAGTCACAGAAGAAATTAAAAAATGAAATTTAAAAACTCCTAGAATCAATAAGAATAAAGATACAACACACAAATACCTCTGGGACACAGCTAAAGCAGTACTCAGAGTAAAATTTATAGCAATAAATGCACACATCAAAAAAGAAGAAAGATCCAAAATCAATAATTTAACCTGACAACTTGAACAAATAGAAAAGAACAGCAAAAGAAGTCCACACTCACCAGAAGAAAGGAAATAAAAATAAAAAATAATAACAAAGATCAAAGCATAATTAAATGAAATAGAAAAATAATAGAAAGAATCAACA